AAATGGCGAACTCAATGGGAAAACTCTGTTAAAAATAATATGTTCATGAAGATTTTTGTTCGTAAGGAAAATATGAGTATTAACAATGACATTGACTTGAATCAGTTAATTACAGGTCATGGGAGATTCCCCTTTTACCTGAAGAGATTCTATGTTCAAGATAATGATTTATGTAAAGTATGTTCAGAAGTAAGAGACAATGTCCACTTTATTACAGAATGTAAGTTAACCAAATGCATTGATGGAGCGAACATAGATTTCATGAAAAATGGTTAAGGCAAGAGGAATAGTACATAAGATTATGAAGTTTATTAATAACAATAAAGAAGTCATTGGCATTGTGTGATTCGTGTGTTTGTATAGTTGTGTTATGATTTTTGTACTGGCGTAGCCCGTATAGGGTCATAAGGCAAACTTTGTTTTGCAAGGTGGATCGGGCTGCGGCCTAAGCTCCTAAGTCCTCGAGGCTCCATCGTCATCCGATCATGAATTCTGTCAAGAACTGGTACCGCTATGCTCGCCAGTTCCAGACGGTTGAACGTAGGCAGATCAAAGCACACGTAAGGCCATTTGAATGACCGTGCCAAAAGCGCCACCTACAGGGACGAGATCGACGTTGTCCTTCCCGTCCCAATTTCGAGATTTAAGCCCTGCTTGAATAATTCAATCATACGCTTGTGGAAGTTCGTTGGGAGTCTGCCGACACGTTCCAGTGTATCCACAAGGTTGATACTGGAGCACTTTACGGTAACCACTGTATCAATCGGTTAATCACAGGGCACGGGAGATTCCCGCAGTACTTCGAGAGGTTTGGATTGAGTGGGACCTGCAGTTGTAGCTGTTTAAATGGTACTGATGACGCACTCCATTACTTGACTGCGTGTAACTACACTCAGAACACCCGACAAAAGTTGTCTTTTGATCTGAATAATTTAAGTACTCTCCTCATCAGCTCAAATCTCCACATTCTTGAACAGATTGCGAAAGAGGTGGGTGAGCTCTTTGAAGAATTGTAATCACTTTTTCAATTTATCTAAAACTAAAATTGCGCTAGAGCTTCCCAATGGACGAGTTAGAACGCGTAGCTTCCGAAGGGATTACCGCTAAGTGGCCCCTGACTGGCCTGTTCTGTTTATTCTGGACGATGACTTTCGAGACAGCAGACTATAGACTCGCCAACGGTTTTGTCTAGTTCCCGGTCTTACGGCTGCGCGCTCGCTACGGTGGTATTAAGTTCTTCCTAGATGACACCATTTTTTCTAATATACAAGTAATTTTGCACAGTGGGGGTGTAGTTCTAGTTCTGGTTGGTTAGCCCTCGAGGTTTTGCCGTAATCTCATAAACCAAATCAAACAACTAATCCTACTGGCTCACCAGAGACCTAGCCGTAAAGTTTCCGACCATTGGTTTCATTTCCAGGCAAACGGACCAGAGTCTAGTCCATGCGTCTAATCACTAGACGCATGGACTTCTCTATGTGTAATAGGGATACGAGACAGGTTTCCTTATAAATTCTTGCACGAAGCCGTCCTTTGCCTTAGGCAGATAGCCCTCGTGTGCTTTGCTATATTAGATAAACCAGTAAACCAAACCTTCCACCATGCAGGTAGCATTTTTGAATGATCACTGTAAAACTGATTATTTTGATAATGATTATTATCAGTAAAGCAATGTAATTTTGTGTACAATTGGTATTATTGCGGAAAAATGCTCTGCATTTACATTAAAATTGAGAAAAACCGTCAAACGCTCGTTGAGCCAAACTACTAAATTGCGAAGAATGGAGTCCTAAAAAGGATTAGCAGTATTTTTCAACTATATTGAAAGAAAGCCATGCACATCACCGTATACAACCCTTCTTTTCGTTAAGAGAATCTTTGTGTTTATACATGCCTCAAATTTATAGTTTTTGTATGTGATTTAAGTTATTTTTACATCTGTAGTCTTTGATTGTTTTGTACAAAAAAACAAAGCCAAAAAATAATACTGATGTTCTAAGCAAAACATTGCAGAATGTTTCAGATTGAATAAAGTTTAAAAATTTATTATATTCAGAACATCATTGCACAGAAATATGAATTGTAATAGAAGAAAAAGAGTAATTCGACGAATTTGATATGTAACTACAAATGTTTCACATAATTCTAAACAGCATAAATGTACTTTCCTAATTCCCGTCGACCAGCCAAGTACGCGATTTAGAGTCAAGTATGAATGATCGTGTCCTTAGAATTCCACAGTAACGATTGGCGATCGTTGCCGAGATTTCCGCCTGCGCTCGTTCAAATAATACGTAAACACCTTTAATTCTACTAGAATATGCCTTTTTTATAGCTTATTTATGAATTACATTGTAAGCTTTACCGTAAATTTATAACAGTTATTTTTAAATTAAAGTTCCTTTCCTATCTCTCCTAGCTTCAGCTTACAATTCCTTACAAGAATGAGTTTTTAGAATCACCTTAAATTCAAATAAGAAAGATAAGTATTTAAGTTGAATTTCCACTAACTTCGGTAGAGAGATTTAAATTATCTGAATAGCGCGCGTTCGTCTTTTAGCTACGTCTCTCTAAAGCTGTTACTACGCTCGGCCGTATTACGCGTCCTTGATAGCTTCGGTAGTTAATTTACGCCGGTTTCGGCGAAATCTCTTTAGTTAGTTATTTTTTAAGTTCTAATTTCTTATATTTTTGAGTTTACGCCCAAGTTTAGGCTTCGCTGTACGTTCGGAGGAAGGTAACGTCTGTACACTTTTAGTTTGAGCAATAAAGGGTAATTAACTCTTCTTGAGTTTTACGTTTCTGTTTCTGGACTTAAGTCCAGAAAGGTTAAGGTTAGGTTCGCTAGGTTCTTCTACACTTAGTTAACAGATAAAAAGAAGGATCCCTACAACATAAGTTTCATTTTGAAGCATCCTGTAAACGGAAATATCTGTCTGTGAATTATTATGAACTAAAAATGTACTTTTTATGTTTAAATTACATCAAAGTCGCACCATGTCAAAAAGGTTTGAGGATTTTCCATAGTAAAAAAATTTCTATGAAGTATTATGGGGAGGGGAATTCCTTTTTTTAAAAAGGGTTTCAATATGAATTGATCATTAATCTGTATTATTTATTCTAGTTTTGCACATACTTATTAACTTGTTAAAATAAGAAATCAAAAGATTTTTATTGTTTGGCATTCTTGCAAGTGATATCAATGTAAAAAAAAAAAAAAAGAATAAATATTAAAATAAAACATGCATTCAAAATGAGTATTAAATAAATATGTTGCTAATTGTTTAAAATATCTAATTTATTTTTGAATATTGTTCTCTGATACTGATACTGTCCATTAACCCTTTGAGTCTAAAGGGACAAAAATGTTGCACCAAAAGTCTAAAAACTACTGCTTGGGTAAAAAGTAATGTTGGGGATCATGTTCCAATAATTGAAAAATCAAGTTCCCGCTGAGCTCAATGTAGACAAATGAACATAGAGGGGGGGGGAATTGGAATGCTTTCAGATTTTATATTAAGACCAAAGGGGTGTTTTTTAACGTTTCGTGTGCTACCTTCATTTATTAAATATCATGTTCTTCGCACTTAAACCATAAAATTTAATTCAACAGCAATATCACAAAATATTTAAAAGAATCCTTAGAATTTCCGATACACAATCTCGCGCGCTGGAGGTCAAAATTTTTCCCCATACAGTGTTGCCAAAACTCGCTTTGAAATCGTTGACTTTATTATGAAGACTCATAAAATGCTTTACAAAATGTGAAATAGGTTATAAAACAAATTCCAAATTCGGGCTTCCAGATGCCCATTTTCGGGTGGAGACGTACGTTATTCAAAATTGGATGGCCCTAGGTACCGCTGTTTTATCAGAATGCGGGAAACATACATACATTTATTCAAATTCTTCATTATTTAATTTTTTTTAATATAATACAGGGCTCTAATATTTGGTTGCTACAATTTAAGAATTGATTCGCTGTTTATAGAGAAACGTCAGAAAATGCCAAAACGTAATTAATAGCCCTTCTGGGCAAAATGTCCCTTTGGACTAAAAACAAATATGAATTGCCCAATGTGTAATGTTGGGTAATGCAAAGAATGCTTTTTACTCTGTACCATATTATGTAATATCTGTTTCATATAATAAAGTGTGCTAGAATAATAGGTGTGCTTATAGTAAGTCGATCGCCACGTGTAATGACGTATATATTCCAACATTAACTGAGGCTGAGACACGTGTCCAGCCTTTGGCTTGAAAAACCACTTGTCAAAAAAATCCCAAATGCTAAATTTACCTTATTTATGACAAATTTTGTTCTCTTAGATAGAATTAAAAAAAAAAAAAAAAACTCTTAGTGAAAGGGTTAATTCCTTAGAAAGTATCCGCTATCCTGAATTAAAGGCTAAACTTAAACGGCAGTTATGTAGTCAATAATTTAAATTATTTTTTGGGAGAAATGATAGCAAGAAAATTAAAAATCACAACAAATGTTTCAAATATTTTACTACTTCGTGGTACTGTGAAACTTCATTTAATCATTTCTTTTATTCAGACCTTCTTTGGTTTGAATACATGAAAGTTAATTAAATGAAAGTTAATATATGAAAGTTTGAATTAAAACCTACTGCTGGGTTAAAAAGTAATGTTGAGGATCATCTTCCAATAGTTGCAAAAGCAAGATCTCGCTGAGCTCGTTGTACACAAATAAACATATAGAAAAAACACTATTGGGTTTTAAAACTATTCTCAATATTTATGTGTTCGACTCTATGATCCAAATATATGATTCTTATAACCTTTAAAGAGAATCGAGTACCTAGTTAGTATTACTTTACGTTCTCTGTGTTTCATAAATCTGATACGAAAATTGAAGAAAATTAGGAATTCGTAATCTATAACATCTGTCAGCTGTTCACATTGTTCAATATTCAATGGTGTCTTCTTTGTCTTAATCTCGCTTATTTCCGATTAATTTAGGAATTATTTATTTGTAGGATTACTTATGAACTGAGTGAGCAAGACGGTTGGGGTCAAATTTTGAGTGGCAACGACAAACGATTTACATTCTTTGCTCCCAGTGACGATGCATGGATGCAGCTCAAAAGAAATATGCCCACAGTCTACAAGCAGCTTACCATGAAAGCTTTCCCTTACCATACCAAAAAGGTACATTAAATTTTACAATCCTTTCTCCCAGTTGTGCATATCTTCCCAGACATTTTTCGGGGGGGATGTCAAATTCTTTTTAACTTATTTTATGCCAAATATTTAATATTAAAATTAGCTTGGTTATTACGAAAATCTTTTTACAGATATAGAGAATTTCGCAGGAGTAAGACCTTATTCCGGTGTCTGTAATGAATATGTCTGCTTAGTGCCTTTGCTTAAAGCTTGAATTCAAAGGGAAGTTTCGAAGAATGCTTTTTCTTTATTTGCTTGTCCCAAATGAAAATAAAAATGAAACAAAATTAAGGACGGGTAACATTTTCTGTCAACTCTAGTATCGAAGAATTCTGTAAAGGCAGTAGACAAATAACGTTATGCACTTCCCAACGCTGACGTCACTTATTTACAGAAGTGGAAGAAAATGCCACAAAGAGAACAGTTGCTTTTGAACAGACTTAAAAGCCCCAGATATAGTAGCTTTGAAATTCTGTTCAAGAGCAAGAATCGGCTGAGATTAGAAGAATAAAGCCTATTTCATGTATATTTAAACTCTGTACGCATGTTCTTTACTTGTTTAAATACCTGCTTAAGAACATAAAAAACTCAGCTACTTCTACCGTCTACTGTTCCAAGAAACATATAATAGAAAACATTAACCAACAAAGCATTTTGTTTGAATTTGCAGGCAGGCTTTTATTAAAAAATAATAAATAGCTGCTAAATATGTTAAATTAATGTCCTTCAGACCTTACTAGACAGTAAAGTGTAGCCAGTTATCACTTTAGTCTGAATTAATGACAAAATCCTAAGAATGACCTTTTTATTAATTCTGTTACTTTAACAGAAGGCTACACTTCTGAGTAAAAATAACCTTCTCCATTCAGTCATTAAAATAATATCAGCTGGAATTCAGATTCGAAGTAACGTAATCATCGACTACATAAAATGGTTTGCTTAAGCTGCCTGAAATATTTAAATGGCGTGTTTTAAAACGTCGGCTAGCGAAATGGCAAGATCTCAAATGATCATTGGTGGGGCTGCCAAAAGCTGTAACACTAAAGAAGCGGAATTCTAAATTCAGAACCGTCTACTTAAATACTCAAGCAGCTAATTTGCATTCTGGTGTGGACTATAGAAAGGAAAAATTATAGTAAATATTTAGAACATGTATTTAGTAGATTACCATAAATCATTCTAAATTAAATAATCATTCTAAATTATTCGTTAAAAATAAAAAAAAAGTATATCTTAATGACGGAGTCCTCCTCTTTAATTACAATTCTTTACGATTGAGCTGAATTTATTGTAATAAAGTTCTTGCTTTATTATACATTATTACCTTGTTAATCTCAAAGAAATTCTATTAGTGCTGCTTATAAACAAACTTGTATAATCATTATCATTTAATTATACGCACTCCCTTTTTGTAATATTTAAACACGTATGTGTTTTCACAGATTTTGGATCGTCACCTCGTGGTTAATCGTGAGCTTCGTGCCTCTGACCTTGAAAGAATAAACGAGATACAAATGGTCCACGGTCGTTTCAAGGTTATCCATCTCGACCATCCGGGCGGTAAGTTTCCCGAAATTAATTTTGCACAACATCGCTGAAATAAGTTTCTGTAACATAGTTTGCAATTTTTGATTGGAATAACCAGGAGGAAAGTAAATAAATTATCACCAATTATGAAATAGTTAATTATATAACAATTTTTCAATAAATGATTACGGTATTTTTTATATGTGACAGAAATTTGGCCGTCATTGTGGTCGCGTCAAAGCATTGCATTCTGCAATCGATTAGTATCCGATGATATTTTACTGATAATTAATATGCATTACTGCATTTCTGAATGATTATTTATAATAATTTCAGAGTTAACTTTGATAATTTACTTAAGCTTTCAATTATGTGTTTCGCAACCAGTGTTATTCAGTATGGTATGTCCTCTTGGAGAAGGTAATATGCACACTTTGAAAGGAGATGTTGTAGTAAATATTTAGATATTATTAAAAAAAATAAAATAAACAATTAAATTTTTTATTTTATTTAATAAACAATTATTGATAAATAAACATTACATTTTATTGTTTTCCATTGGAAAACAATAAAATATAATTGTTTGCTATTGATCTTTACTCCAGAATTACTACGTAGCTTTTTTATTCACTACCCTCTTTAAATAACTGGTATGATAATTCCGTTTGCGCTTTTTTAACTTGGTAATATACTAATGAATTATTTTCTTAAAATTGTCAGTTCGTTCTATTATGTTTCTCTTTAAAACAGTAGTTCTTTATTTTAATTTAATTTGAAAATTATATCATTTTTATTGTATGCGTTATTAACAGTTTTATTCACTTGAGAAATTTAAATTAAGATGAAAATATTTAAGCTAAATTAACAGTAAGACAAACAGTATTTCGGAGACAATTTCATCGAATAAAGTTTCCAGTTGAAAAATAAATATTTGAGGTAAGAAAACATTCCATAGAAACTGAAAGATAATTAAATTATTAAATATTTGTTGATGTGTCAAAGCACTTATTCAACTTAACAGAAGCTATGTTAAACACCTGAAGCTCTTCTAACTTATTGAAAATACCTGGAAGACATCCAGGCCTGGAAAGATGTTATTTATGTTACTTAATTATTTATAAAAGAGTCTTAAACCGTAATATTCAAAATTCGCTTTGTGCTGTATGTGAAAACTATTTGAAACGCTTAGCATTCTGATAAAAGTGTCACCTCTAAAGAAATCGAAAATAACTTCAAGAACGTTATTTTCTTTCATTGTGCAAAATTAGTTCAATTCAAACTTCTTTCCAAAATAAGCAAATAATGCATATGATTCATTTAATACTCGTATGTGTGGGAGATATATTAAGTGTTAGGATTCCCCTGGAGCGCTTATTGTACTAGCTAAGATCTGTAATCGGACATTCTCGGCTCTGGGGTGTAAAATACAAGAGCCCAGTTCTTAATTAACGTCTATCGAAGTAGATAAGTGCCAAGTTGTCGTTCAAACGCTTTATTTCTACAAGCTCTGCACCTTTCGTAGTGTGTATGAGAGAAATATTTATAAATTTCACCGTTTTACAATAGGGGCCTCCATAGGCGTGACAAATGAGACACAAAGAATGCACCCGGCAGCTCTGTCAGCCCTTTTCTCTTTCCTGATATGGGAGTAGAGCTACTCGTATATGGTGAGCTGTGTAGTGAGATCAAGGCAGACCCGCGGAACAGGTATACAATACATTACATTTCTACACACGACGAAGGTTATTAGAAGAGGCATTCGATTATTATTACTTATGTTTTTCTCGCTTGAATAAGATCTTCCAAAGGATCAGAATATGTCTGTGAAAGAGTGTTATAATTTTAAAAATATGAAAATCCGTGTATTGTATGTATAAGGAATTTCTTATCAATAAACGATCCAAGATTTCTTAACTGTGATCCGCGATTTTCGACTCGCACCATGTCGTGGTAGGATATTTGTCTCTTACGGTTATAGTCTTTCATTAAAATGTCGCTTTTGATTAAATAAAAAGGTATCGATGATCTGTTTGACGTTTGTATTCCATATTCATGCGTTTCATGAGAACGTCCGCAATCAGCTTATCTGTCACAACCTTGCGCGCCTCACCGGGCCGCTGCAAATCCGTTGCCTACTGGCGACTTTCGCTCAGCGTTGACAGGAAATTTTCAACTAAAGTAGCAAAAGTAGACTCAAAAAGTCGCAAAATATCGCAAATGACCTGTCAGAACACGTGAATCATGGACCTTATAAGAGATAGACTAACCCAGTGGGCGGGGCGCGCGTCACCGACATGTCCGCAAGAACGGGACGATCTGGTTTACTTAACACTGAAACATATGGCATTTGTATCACATAACTGTTTTAATTATTAAATGTGATACGTTGTATAGTGATGAGATTATGTTATTTATTTAAGTCACAGTTTTTTCCAAATAGGATTTAATATATCTCATTAAAGCACATTTTACTTTATTTCGCGCATTTTGTTTTCACGCTTAATTCTTGTACAAATATCTTTACTTTGGTAAAACGGTAAAACCTCTAAGCACAAAACTTATGAACTTAAATTTTGCGTAAAAATTAAGTAAAATTAAGTAAGATTGATAGTACCCGATGATTTGAAATAAATAAGGTAAAATTAAACAAGATCTGATAATTTTTTTTAAAAAAATTTAATGGATATTTTCAGGCAGTGATTTTCAAAACTATAGTAACATTACAAAACAATGATTTATTTGATTTTATCATCATTAAATTATTAACATTAAAGTGTATTATTTATTTTAGTAATTTATAAAATTCGGAGCATAAAATTTTCTGAGTGTAATGAAGGAAAAAAAAAAAAAAAAATCTAGAAGCACTCGCATTTTATATTACGCCTAAAAGGAACCTTTTTTTAACGTTTTGTGTGTTACCTATATTTATTGAATATCATGTTCTTCGCTCGTAAACGACATACATTTGAAAACAGCATATCTTTAGAATTTCCGCACTGGAGATAAAAATGTTATTTATCTCCTCAAGACGTTTGAAAGGAAACGTTTCGCAAATTATTTCCAAGTGTTGCTACAAACCAAAATATATACATAAAGCAGAAAATAAAATATTTGAAATGTGTGTTCTAAATGTTAAGCAATGTTTCTAAGCAAATATTTCATATATATTTGCTTCGATTTTCTGAAAACAAACAAATAGTTTTAAAGGTGTTATTTGTTTTTGTGTTTTCTAAATACGAAAATAAATAAGATTTCTTATAAACTACTTCTATTTTTATATGCATTTTTACCTGTTTTCCCTTTTTTTTTTTTTTTTTTTTTTTTTTTTTTTTTTTTTATATATATATATTTTTTCCTAAAATAGAACAGTGTCTTTTCTTTTTAAGACATATATTTATTTAAAATAAATAACAAAAATAAATATGGAATTGCTTCGACTTTTATAATTCGCTTGAAATTAGAAATGTTAAGTCGAAAGTTTAATTTTCCTCCATATGTGTAGTTCTGAGATTATTTTCAGCTAAAAGTTAATGCTGTTAAATGTATAACATTTAGTGCACGCGTTTACTAAAAATGGAGGACGGAAAAAGAAGTTTTTGAAGTTATCTGATTAATAACTAAATTTTCATTCATATTTATATTACATAGCTAACTGCAAGTTATTGTTTTTTTAATATATATCCCCTGGTTTGATTTATGGGGTTACAGCAAAGCCTCGGGGGCTTTTTGCCTAAGGGGAGGGATGCCTTCGTGGACGACTTACTAAGGGAACTGGCTCGTTCACATGTGGAAAACCACGAAAACGTCCATGCCGCCAGCCCGTTCGCGGGATTCGAACCTCGGACTAAATTGTCAGTGTTCAGCAGGTGGGCCATATATCTCCTTTAAAATACAAATTTGAAAAAAAAAATGTATCCTTATAAATTATCATTTTTATTGCAATCAAAATATTAAATTTATTTTCTGCAATAGAACTGAAAACACCGGATTGATTAGATGTTTGGAATACTTGCATAATACTTTTTATCTTTACTTTAAACGCAGTATGTATTTATTGTAGTTGTAATGAACGAATATTAAATTTTGGGTATATAATAATTTATTTCAACACAGTTTGTAAAGTAAAAAGAAAACATTTTTCTGAGAAACGAAATGCTGAACATTACTTATCGATACATATTACAGGATATCACGAATTAAACAAAAAATATAATTAAAAATAATAATATAAAAAGCAGAATTTTGAGAAATACGCTAATAATCCCTCGAATTAACTTAGGCTCTTTTGTTAAATTTTGAAGTTCTACTAATGATTAAATTTGAATTGCTGATCTGTCTTTCCTCGTTATGTTGCTGAGCTCTATTAAAGCATATATTTGAAGTGTATGCTTTAATCATTGTCACCACACCAAAACTATGAATCTGCATGATGTAAATTTAAGTTGTAATGGATAACATTGTAGGGATCTTCACTTTTATCTAAGTTTTGAGGAACCTAGTGAACTACTGAGCGAATAATCGCTCAAGTCTAAAAATAGAAACGTAAACTCGGGAAGAGTTAATTACCCTTTATTACCCAAAATAAAGTTAACAGATGGCCCCTTTCCTAGGACATACAATAAAACCTCCACTTGGGCTGAAACTCAAAAATGTAAGAAATAAGAACTTAATTAACAACTAACTAAAGAGATTCACCCGAAGCTAACACAATTTCTAAACAAGTTGGCCCGTAATGTTAAATTAGCTAGCGAAGCTATCAAGGGCACGTAATACGGCCGAGCGTAATAACAGCTTAGTGAGACGTAGCCAAGAGGCAAAAGCGCGCTTGCATTTAACGCGACTCTAAAAACTCATTCTGGTAAGGAATTGTAAACTAAAGCTAGAAGAGATATAAAATGTAAATAAATGTAATATAACTGTTACAAACTTAGGATAAACCTTACAACTTAAATTAGCGTATCGAGGGATTTATTGTTGAGTTCAAATAAAAGTTTTGCAGCATATATTTTAATCATCGTCGCCGCACCTAAAAT